CAATCATAATACCACTGACGGCCCCTTGCGGAGGGATAAGCCGATTTTTCTATTCTCGCGGTAATTCTTATTCACATGGTAATAAGTAGGAGGTTATTATTCGTGTTTTAATGTGCGATTTGTCAACTAAGTAGTTACCAGTTGGATTGCGTTTTGTAATAGACTAGAAGTCTATAAGTGTCAAAATTGACCATGTGGCAATTCTGAGCAAACGTGTCACATGGTGCCGGAACCAACGGAAAGGCTGGCCGATTTGCAAGTTCATAGTCGCGCCTTTGCGCACAGTTTGTTTATTTAGTTGCCTCAAGTTCTTTCAACTCTCGATGAAGCCAGCAGAAAAAGACGGAGGTAGGCGGTGTGAAGCATGGTAATCCTAATTAAACTAATGCTAGGGATCCGCTGAATGCAGTCATACTCTTCACAAAAAACATCAAGGTGGGTGGATCGTGGTTCTGTTTCGTGGAACAACAGTTTAGCTGACTTGCGACTCCAAACAAATACTGGGGCGTCTTAATTTTGAAATCGGTTTCAAATATGATTTTGACAACATTTCTCGTGAAACCAGCTTTGCCCGAAACAGACTAGTTTACGGGCCCTATCGTGTATGGAAATTAAGCCACGCTCTACACATCCTCAGCTCAGGGAACACAGGGTGTCGTAGCGACATGTTTGCCTCTGAATTTCCGTGCTCTCATTCAGAGCCCCTCAGCAGGCTCAAAAGAAATCGGCGGGAGCTCGTCCATCTCAAATGAGAGCACACATTTGGAGGGTGAAGTGATACCAGTGTTTGGCCCCCTTTTCCTATAACCCTGTCCGGCCAGCTCTCTGTAGCATTGCTGGAGTCTAGTTGATTTCCCTCATTTGTCGTTGCCATAAATGACATCTGTTTAGATATGCCATGTTTTTAGATAGACTCACTCAATATGCGGTGATGTCGTCGGATGTAATGGCAAATAAATGTTTCTTTTTCATTTTTAAGTTGGTTTTCGAGTCTACTACTAGATGAATTCATTCTATTTCAACTAATAATCCTTCATTACTTTCAACGAAATAGAGTGAATGCATCTTATATGTGATCTACTGGCAGTCTAGAAAACCTATCTAAAACGAAGAATAAGTTATATAGACGTTGTTTGACCTTGTTTTCGCAACTTGGTCAAATTGGTAGGAAGACTTAGAGAAGCGCACCAAGTCCGGAGTCCATTGTATGCATCATCATTTCCATAGTAGGACCGTGGACGTGGTACATTCTCAGACATTTGGCCGGCATTGTAGTCGACATTGTCAGTGAGTCTCGACATTCGTAGCACCGTATTACAATTCGTCAAAGAGACAAGTAAACCCCATCCTTTGACCAAACGTGTGCTAAGCAGTTTTGGTATCTCCTCTTGCGCCCTGGGCTATTCACATTTCCTATACATTTCCTAAATTAAAAATAAGCAAGGTAAAAACTGTGACAGGAAAAGGCATGATAGGAGAATATATGAAATGTGAATAGCCCAGGGCAGAAGGAGAGGTACCACAACTGTTTAGCACACGTTTGGTCAAAGGATCGGCTTTACTTGTCTATTCGACGAGTCATAATATGGTGCTACGAATGGCAAAACTCACTGACGATGTCGGCGAAACATCTGGGAATCTGCCACATCCACGTTCCTACTCTGGAAATGATGATGCATACAATGGACTCTGGACTAGGTGCGTTTCTCTAAGTCTTCCTACCAATATGACCAAGTTGCGAAAACAATGTCAAACAACTTCTATACAACGAAAGGAGACTGCGGTCACACAAAAAGACACACCATCTTGGTTTTCATACCTTCGAATAGCAAATACAATTTTGCCTTATCGACAATCCCACTACCGAATGTGATGTTGAAACATGCCTGATCCTATTTGAAAGTCACTTCTGCCCTGTGAACCAGAGGCACTAGTGACATTTTGACATAGTGGTCAACGTGTCGAGGTTATGCGCTACATTCTTATGGCTCGAGTCACGCTAGAGCTGCTTATAAGGCCAGTTTAGGCGAGGTCGAAACTGCCTTTAGGGGAGCAAGGCTATGTGAAATTCAATGGAAACGTAAGACTTCTCATATGGTTTCGGGAAAATATAACGAATCATTACTGATCGCCTTTAGTAAAACAGATGAATACATTTCATAAATACAAGTTTGCCTTTTTTAAAAACAATTCGACAAAAAGTGTTTATTTGGGGGCACCTGATCTGTGTCGAAAGTAACATCATCCTGAGATTATGTAGTGGAGTGGTAAGGCTGTATGATGTTTGTCACCCCTTTGAGATGCAGTCCATTTAAGAGAAACAAAACATTTTGAAAATGCTGGGTCGACTTAAATTCACCCACCAAGTGTGTTATTCTAGATCTTCTGACAGTTTCAAAGCATATTGTCCCTACGTTTGGTAAGATAGTTCCACAGTCCTACAAATTGATGTTTATCCTCTTGACGGTCGACCTGAACAATCACTTCACCCCGTCTTTCCATGCACTCTCCGACCCCCACCACCCAGGGTCCAGTTTTCCTCTTGTCACTATCTTCACTATACCCCCGACAGGCAAGACCGACAGAGAACCGGTATGCCTGGGAAATCCATACCTGACGACCATTTCTAAGACAGGCGGACTATCCTTCATGTTGGAGCCCCGTTCAATCCAGTCACGTCGGTAATCGACACTCGCCTGCAGTCATGGAAGGAAACGAGGTTAAATGACATAGGGCCTTAACAACGGTGAAATGACTGAGACTATATGACAATAAAATGTCTGGAGGATCAATAGTTGTGATAAACAGACATGCATTGTAGGTGTGTATGACGGCCCTTTTGTTTACCTCTGAATATCTGTCTGTAGGAGTAGGAAAACTAATCTTTATAATATGTTGAAGTACCTTCACTCAGCTTGGACCTATCTCGGTTTAGTTATTTGTCTGAATTATGCGTAAATGAGCCCTTCCGGCTCCGACGATATTCGGCACATGACGGACGAAAACTCGGCCAGGTTACCGGCTGTCACCGGTCGAAAGCGACGGCCTGGGGCGGGCTCGAGCCGTTTTTACCTCTCCCCTGCGGGTTCCCGACAGAGGCACCGGCCCTACATGCCGAATTTCCCCACCCGCACAGGTACTCGCCCTCTCCAGCCCCGCAATGGAGGGGGGGGTTGCACTGCACACCTTCTATGGTGCCATCTACGCTACCATGAACATGGTGAACGAGCTGAGATTCGTTGTTTCCACGCCTTCATCCACTTCTGTGGATGAGAGTCGTCATCATTTTCTTTAGCCTTAAAAGCCTTCTTAAAAGTGGGAAACTACATCTGATGTATCACAACCGGAGTTGGCCGGGCCAGAAAACAACTTGAGCAAACTTGCTCGATCAAGTTATGTGTCGCATTGCGTCATTTTCGAGGAGTTAGGACTGACCGCCGAAATTCCCGCAATGAAATGATCAAGCCTCACGTCATTGCATTACAGCCCACTTCGCCTCTAAAGTGGCATTCTCAATCTAGCTGTATTCCATAGAGGATGTTTGACCTTGTTTTCGCAACATGGTCATATTGGTAGGAAGACTTATTGGAACGATCATTGTCTGCATGATCATTTCCAAAGTTGAACCGTGGACGTGGTACATTCCCAAACGTTTCGCCGGCAT